GCTGTACCTAAACATTGTCAATAATCAGGCTTAAAAACTGCTAAGAATAGATTAACGAAAACAACCACATCAGAAAATAAGACTGAGTCAAACTTTCTGCGCAAGGAGCTGTACAGCATACTAATGAACTTTTTTCCCAGCTTGCAGCAAATGATACACAAAACAACAGTACTGCACTGCAAAATTAGCTAGGTAAAAGAGATTTCAAGTGTGGCTCAGGCTGCTTACTGATTAACGCTTCTGCACATAACACTCCTCACAGAGCTGTGCAGTTATTGTTCACAGGGGAAACCGGGCTCTCATAGCAACAGAACAAATGAACCTTCCTGCTCCAAGCTCACAGTTCTCACACAGTTTTAACACTATGAGAGCTGCTCCTTCTCATAGAGCCAGCAGACAAAGTGAAAATCATCCCACCGTGTTATCTAACATTTCAACTCTTCTCGTGACAAAGAGGAGCCTTAGTCATCTCACGGAGTGAGCATGCTCATCTTGCAGGTGACCCTTAGCTAATGATCCACTTGTTCAGAAAAGAATTACAGACAGCTTGTAACATTTGTAAGAAAAATACAACAGGAAATTAAATACACAATTATTGTGAAGGAACTACTCTAACACTGCTGGAGTCACAGGAATGAATAGTGACTGTCATCTTCACCACAGGCCTGGAAAGGAGAAGAAAGATGGGTCTGTGCCTATCTGCACAGTCTTCCATTACAGGTCTGGAAAGCCTTTTTTCGCTCACAAACAGTGATGTTTGCTTCTTTCTGCCCCATTTCACACATGCTGTGTCACACTCTCAAGAGCTTCCCTCACATATTGACACCTCGGGTTTTGGTGCAGCAGCTGGGGTGGAGCAAACAGCCACCAAGCTAACCTCCTCAGCTGGCATTCTCCACTGTGTCCAGTGTCACCTCTCACAGTAGAGAAGGTGTTGCCAGATGCGCTAGCCTCTAGCATGAGCCTCTAACAGAGATGACCAAGGGCAAGGCGGCCCATGTGGTATCTATCTCCACCAGACTACAGGAGTAACAGCCATAGCTGCAGCTGTTGGATGACCTCCACTGTCCACAGAGAACTTCAGACACAGCAAAAAATCACCACCTGCCAAATCCAAGCATCTTGAAACGCATGACATAAGAGTCTGACTGGGCAAGAAAACCTGCTTTGAAGACCAGAACAAATGTTCAAAAAATGCTTAAGCATGGCCATGGTGATTGGGACCCAGGATGCCCTAGCAGGATTCTGTCCCCAGTGATGACAACAAGGTAACATCTGGGAAAAGAATAACCTTTTCCCCTAAACCACTCCTGCAACTTCATTCAGCAGTCGGCTAATCCACCAAGGGATGTTTGTTTTCAATACCTCTGATTGACTTTCCAAACAAACACTTTCATTCACAGAGTAAGAGCAACCACCACAGATATTGAATGTATTGACTCTTTCAGCAATTACCTGTTGCTTTGAAGAAGAATTGGATTTTTTTTTCCACTGCATGAGAGCATTCAGGATATTGCTGAACAGAATCTGGCTCACACTCACAACACTGTTGATTATATACATAAGTAAATAGGTCAAACAAAAAATATAGCTACTAGGAGTCCTAAGAAAAGAAAACCTATTCCGATAGATGTCTAAAAAGTAGATATGCTAAATATTAAATTTTAAAACACAGAACTTACAGGGAGTATTATTATATTTAAAAGACTGCCGTAATATGATGCCGTCATATTTTAAAGACTGCAGTAATATGATGCAGGAATCACGGAATGGTTGAGGTTGGAAGGGACCTCTAGAGATCATCTAGTCCAACCCCCTGCTCCAGCAGGGACACCCAGAGCACGTGGCACAGGGTGGCATCCAGGCGGGTTTGGAAGATCTCCAGAGAAGGAGACTCCACAGCCTCTCTGGGCAGCCTGTTCCAGGGCTCTGTCACCCTCACAGGAAAGAAGTTCTTCCTCACATGGAGGTGGAAGTGCCTGTGTTTTAATTTATGCCCATTACCCCTTGTCCTGTCACTGGCCACCACTGAGAAGAGTTTGGGCCCCATCCTCTTTACATTCTCCCCTCATATATTTGTACATATTGATAAGATCCCCTCTCAGTCTCTCTTCTCCAGGCTAAACAGGCCCAGCTCGCTTAGTCTTTCCTCATAAGATATTTGCTCCAGCCCCTTAATCATCTTTGTCGCTCTACACTGGTTCTTTGCTCGAAGCTCCATGTGCCTCTTGCACTGGGGAGCCCAGAACTGCACCCTATACTCCCGATGCGTCCTGTAGAGGGGCAGGATCATCTCCCTTGACCTGCTGGCAACACTCCTCCTGATCTCATTTTTTTCTATCCCTGTTTTGTGATTTCAACACCAGTTCCAAACAAAATAAAAATAACGTAATGTAAAATAACATCAGATAACACGAAAACAACTTTTCAGAAAATAATGCACGCATTTGGATTCAGGCACAATATTCAACTCTTTTTGTCTATCCTGAACATAAGCCTCTGCTTTTTAGAACTATTTTAACCAGTATTGAAAAAGTGCAGGGAAAGTATTCCAAAATGCCAACAAGGCATTTTTGCTGTATATCTTACTTCTATTACTATTCCATAAGTTCCAAAGTTATATATATATATATATAATGTATATATGTATATATGTATATATATAAAACCTCTATAATTGATGCTCAGACAACTGTAAAAGGAAAGTGCTTATTGCTTTCTTGAGATAAAGGATTAACTAAAATAACAAGATACAGAAGGACATTTTTCCTTTACGTATCAAGCATTAGAAGAGAATGAAATCTGAAAAAAAAAATGCACACACATAAACAATACATCTTACAAGTTCATTTTATGGTGTCTATACCATACACCATAGCAAAGTTCAAAGTTTCAGAAAATTATCTAGACATGACTGTGTGTGAGCCAGCTTTTCTGTAGTGGACATATTCCCAATATGCATAATTTTTAGCTCTGTAATTGTTCCTACTGATCATAAAGACTTCAGAGGTGCAAAATTGCTAATCCTAATCACATTAGTAGAGTGATCTAGACTTTGCAGTATCTGAAGACTGTGAAATCTTCTTCTTCCATGGTAACTGTCTTTTTGCCTTTCTTTCGACTTTCTGCAATGCTATAAAGTATAAAAAAAAAAAACAAAACACACCACATCCATTCATGGGATAATAGGAGTTTCCAATGTGAATAGCGAAGAAACAACTTCTGCTGGACAAAGGAAGAACCGGAGGTACTGGGAAGAGGTAAAATGTGATCAAGAGAGTGCATCCAAGGAGTTTATGACCATCTAGTAACCATCCCACATTGCCCCATTACAGAACCAATGTCTGAAGCAGGTTTTGGGAAAGACGTGTACATCCACTAGCCTCCCCCATGCTCTTCCTCTCACAGTGTCTCCCATTATCTTCCCCACTACATTTCCTTTCCAGTTGTCACTCTGCAAACCTCACTGTCTTCCCCTTCCCTGGTTATTCAGGCTCAAGATATCAAACCAACACAGTTTACACAAAGAAAAAAAAATTCCTAATATCAGCCCTTCAGCTGAGCTCTCTATTCTCCTTCCAACAAAATAGCACACTATTTCATGCACATGATAGCAGTCCAAGGAGAAAGATGGAAATGCTGACAACCAAGAATGAAGTAGTCAGGAACTGAAAATCAAATCCAATTTGTCCCAGGGTGAATGAATCAACTGATGTTCTCTTCATCTGTTGTACTATTCTCCAACATATATTGGACCAACTATTCCATAGAGCTGTTTTAGATATCTCCTATCATAGATCCCCTGCTTCTAGGCACATCATTTCGCCAAGAATAGGAATCAGGCTCTGCCAGTACTGAAATAGAGATAGAAAAGTTCCTTCAAAGCTCATTATATGAGTAGTCTTAAAGTCAGATGCTATGAACCACCCCCTCTGGCATTACCTAATGGATGATCTTAGAGGTCGCTCAGTGAAAATGTTTATGCATTACTACTGTCCTGACTCAGCAAAGCACTCGAACACACAGTTAATTTTCAACATGTTCTAAAAACCTACTGATGTCAAGCCTGAGAGCCTTGCTTAATAAGGATGGACTTACTTATTAAATGTTCAAAGAGAAGCAGTGTGAAGCAAGAGAGGAAAGTAGTGAGAAGCAACCCACTTGGAATAAAAGAAGATATCTTTGTCTTCTCTTTCTATGCTTTCACCAAGAAGCTGACCCAGGCTTTTCTTAGTATTTTAAAACATCTAATTATTTTCTATCCATTCAATCCTTTGTCCGCATACACTGAGTTCTGAAAGGAAACCACCGAAAATCTTTGAAAACAGCGGTCCCATTTCCAGCATGACCAGAACCAACAAGAACTCAAATCTTACATTCCTGGTCTGACCTTGCAGACAGTAGAGCGGACAGTCTGGTAAATCTGTGATCAACAAGAACTTACCCACAACGGACTAGCCTCCGAACCTTGTGAGAATGGTGCACCATACCTTATTCTGACATAATAGTTCCCAAAAATCAATTGCAATCCTATGACTAAGACATGCTCCATGACTTGTCCAACCTAAGAACCCTATTAACTATGAATAGATTCCTGCTTCCATCAATAAGCAGCTGTTAGTCACCAACAGGAAGCTATGTTCATATGCAGAAAGAAGTATTTCCAGCAGTGCCAACAAAATCCTGGCTCCATCAAACACAAACTGGTGGTTTGCTGAGCTGAGAGGTTAGATTAGCAAAGTAAAGGCAGCCTTCTTCATTTATAAGGAATCTTAAGACAACCCAGTGATTTTGAGCAACTACTGTTTAACACAAAATGCCTAGGAATTATCTAATGATAGATGGTGAGAGTGGAAAAGAACAGCATGATTGTTTCAGTATTTTCTCTTTTGAAGTCATAAGAGAGGCAAAGAAGATTGCATCCAGTAAAACCAGTAGCAATATCTGATACTGGAAAAGAAATGCCACTGCTGAACAGCAATAGAAAAAATGAGTCTTACCTTTACCTGTGCCTGGGGAGAAGGTATTTCCAAAGTCTTGCAGTTTGGGTTTTAAAGCCTGTGGGGCTGGCAGTCCTGGGAGCTGTGGGACTTGGAAGACAGGCTTTCCATTTGTGACCACGTGTCTCCTGGGACTCCGTGCAGGAAGGTGGGTAGTGCTGTCAGTGGTGTTGCTTGGAGGAGTGACCCCTCCTCCAAGGGGCATCTTTAGGTGTTGGCTGGCAGATGCGTTTCCAATAGCTGCCTTGAGGGTGCTGCTATGTGAAGATGGGCAGGGTGCTTCTGCATGAGCTCTCATTGGTGAGCTCTGCTGTCCACTGATTGCCCCAGGTCCATAAGGAAGACCTGTTGTCTGGCAGCTCATGCTACAGGCCCTCCCATTCATTGTCATGTATTTAAAACACTCGAAGTGTGTGTTTTATCAACCCACAGCTAGAACTGATACTATTCCAAAGTCAGAAAGTAATCCATTGTGCATTAAGCCTGTTTGAAAGAATACATCAATAAAAAGAATTGACATGCAAATAAATGACACATAAAGGAGAGGACTGCACACAATGTTTAACTTTGTGACATCTCTGCTTACAAGCAGCAAAGTATGTGTGCTATATGGCCAGAGGGGACAAAGCTAAGCAATGACTTTGAACGCTAACAAGGTGAAAACCTGCCTTTTCAAATGCTTAAATTTTCAATAAGGCTATTGCTGTCTGCCTTTATGGTTACACCAGCTATGAAATCAAATGAAAGTTGGGCAAGTGAAAGGCAGTAGAGCCAGGAGTGAAAAGAGCCTCTGGTAGGCAGTTGTCATTGGGATGACCACTGTTACCTCTCATTTTTGGTCATCAGCTTAGCCTAATAATTAAATTAAATTAAAATGGTGCTGAAGAGCAAACACAGCAAGCGAGCGATATATAGATGTAGGAAAGAGATGCCAGCTCAGGTGCTAAAGGATACAAATGCATCAAAATGGAGAAGGAAACATAAAACCATGGAGAAGTCTCTGTGTTCTATCAAGCTCTGTGGCATTTCACTGTAGAAAAGTATTGCAAACAAGCACAGCACAGCAGGACTCACAAATCTAACCACCACCACTGCAAATGTGGATGCTCTTTGTAAACCTGTAGATATATCAAAATTTAAATGAAATCCTACCATGGTAAATTTTCCAAGACAGCTTTCAAATTATGCCAATTCCTTTACAACTCTGATTTTTCTCAGAGACATTTTTTTCTCAACTGTTTTCTGTTATTAAAATCTTAGAAGACAAGGCTGGTGAAGTATTTCAAAGATTATCTTGCCCAGGACCTACCCCCAGGACACAGATTCAGACTATATGTAAGCATTTCCTGAGATACTTAAGATTTTCAGACAAAAGTTGCCCTTTTCAGGATAAATCATTGGGCTAAGGTATGGCACAGATGGGATCGTTTCAGTCCTAACTTAGCTGCATAGTACACATTCGACTTCTACCACTAGGCTCATATGTTTAACATTGGGCACATGCTAAAACAGTTTGCTCAGTCATGGATACAGTGCCTAATCAACTTGCTCAGACAAAATAAGTTAAGCTGACACAAATGAAGCTGAAGTTCCACTTATGTCCACATATTCTTTAAGGCTCTTTCTTTTATGATGATCTTGCTTCAGCAGAACAATGAAGCATAAACTTTATCTTTGCTACATGACATTTTTCAGCATTGAAACCAATGGGATTGTGACCACTTGATTTATGAGTGAAGTTTATGTAAGACCTTCATGCTTAACCCTTGGTTTGCATGAGGCTATGGTGTATCAACTCTCTCCCTTGTTGATCTGCCAACACCAAACCAAAACCCTGAAACAAAACTACATTCATAACACACCCCCGATTAAAGGAAAAGCTACTGTCTGCATCAAGTGTCAGAGTGTCTATATAGAGACAAATGGATAGGTTAGCACACGTGCACTACAGTTTGCTTTCACTAACAAGGGAAGGGCTTACCATACTGTCCTCAATGACAACAGCAAAATCCCTACTGACATTAGTGGGCGAGAGTTGTCCTGACCACATGCATAAAAGATTTATGCATAAAAGATCATAAAAGTTTTATTCTAAATGCTGTTTTTCAGTGTTACGTTTTTATACATGGGAATAAAGATTGGAAAGCGTGACAGTTAAAAAGCTATTTATCGTTTATTTCCATGCCTGGCTAAAGTATAAATCACTCTTTGCAATTCAACCAAGGACAGGCAGAGCTGAATGTTCTTCAATTCCCAGGGTTTGTTTGAAAAGCAGAATGTTCCTTGCCCTAGCACAGGTGACTAGCTCCTTAGAAAAGGACATATAAACAAAGGCAGTTATTTTGCTGGCAAAGCTATATGCCATGGCAGTACAAAGAGGTTACAAGTAAAAATCCTTCTTGTGTATAACTTTTGACTGTAATTTTTACTACATTGTAAAAGTGCAAACATCATCAAGAAGAGATTATGCATGACAAATGCGTTAGCCTTGTTCAACTACAACATTGGAGTCTAATCAACAGAAGAATATTCCTACACGGCTTACACAGACCTACCAGCCCTACAAAATCCCCATTAATATGCAACTATGTAGTCAATAGGTTGGTCTCCTCGCTATTCTTTTCCTGTAATTTTATTACTGTGACTAACAGTGTCCTGTGCTATCTTTGCCTTGCTTTTAACACTGATTACTGCTGGTTTCTTACACTTGAAGGAAAGGCTTCCGGGGCCGTAATTTCTGTTCCAATATTAGTAAGCAGTATTTTGAACAAAATGACCTAAAATATATACAAAATGGCTTTTATTCTTTTTGAGAAAAGCAGAAACAAGATATAGTGTCTTATACAAGACATAAGATATAATATCTCTGCAGTTGCTTCCTCAACTCTTCTCATTCTGTCACAGACGCTATTACACTACAGCAGCATGTAAAACAGCTCTCCCTTTCTTTACTATGTTTATCCTCAGGGCACCTTGGTGAGCATTACTTTTCTCGTGTTTTAGAATTATTATTTTCTAGTATTTGTAATAACACTTGTTTGTGGGTGCCTTTTCATTGATCAAGTTTAATCTGTTTAGTATCAACTTACATTGTGTTCATGTCAAGACATTCTTATATCAATATTAGAGAGGGCAAGCAGATTAAAACCAAAATAACAGGCATGCCTGGAAGTGCACTAAATCATATACACCTAGCTAAAAGGCATATTCAATGACTGTGTCAAAAGGACACAGTTACATGCTGGCTAATTGGAACAGACTTTTGCATTAAATTTATAAATGGCTACTGCTTCTAGCAATCTATAACAATAAAAAAAAATCTAAACACAAAAATATTGGACAACTAGGTCAATGGCTCCAAGTACAACACCTTTTTTACAAGATACTAAGAAATCATGACAAGGGTTGAAAAATAAATACAATATATACATACAATAGATACAATATATACAACGTATAGATACAGTAGCTACAATATACAAATTAAAAACACAAAAGTACCAGAGAAAACAAATATATCCTGAGACTGAAAGACTGTACTATGCAGATTTTGTTGTTCTCTCACAGAAACATAAGCACTTGCTACCTCTTGGATGAAATATTTCTCTTCATCAGTGAGATATCCAACTCCTTTCCTGCTTCATATCCTGCTTCCGATGTCAAAGGAAACACACTAGCCCAAGTGCTTCTGAAGCTTCTATTTGTGAGCTGACTTCACTGCACATCTCCATGACTCCACGTCTATCAATAACTGCATGACAACACAGAGGCCTAAAATCCATTACTATGATTCATAAAGTCACCCTCAGAGAACCATGTAGCAAAATCTAAATTCAAGCTGGAGCCCTGGAAAATGTGAGCACTGTTCCTCCAGAAGGCAGAACAGCAGCAGGATTCACAAGTGCCTGTGCCTGCAGCACAGCATGCCAGGCAGGCCGCTCTGAAAGGCTATCAGCACTGGCTTGTGCCCTTCGCCACTGAAACCTCTGGTGGAAACACTTTTCCACCTCCATACCAGGTGGGTAAGTCCAGTGCATAGCACAATACTTCTGCAATGTCTATCAGTTACTGCCACCTAACACACCAGGCAACAACCACCATCACACTAAAACACCATGAGCACCCATGTCTCGCTCTCCCATGGGAGACACTCACCTCCACCACAGCCACTGCTCATCTGGGATGTGACCTTCGCCCCTTCCCAGCAGAATGGTGCAGCCAGCCCCTGGATGCCCTCTCCACCAGCAACGTGGCACAAGGTGGGAAACCTCCACAAGAGCTCCCTCCCTGCTGCCCCTCGCAGCTCCCTGCCACTGGTGATGGGAGGCACACGGTTCCCAGTGAAATACTCAATAGCCACTGCCTCCCCTGACATCATCCCCCCAATGAGTCAGTCTGGGCGGATTCCAGGGTCTGGATGGAGACAGAGGAAAGGACAGACACCAGAAGCACTGGCATCACCTACACCTTGCTCCCCAGGCAGTAGCTGCAGAAATGGGGCCACAACAGCTCCTATGGTTTCTGTTACTCGCAGATATCAGACACAGACACAGCCCAACACAGCTGTGAGCTGCCGACATACTAGCCTGCTTTTTTGATAAAGAAATACGCACATACCTACATAGTGCTGGTATGACACTTCTTCCACAGCTATCAGCTATAGTTCTCGGATGCAGCTGGGAAGGCTTGTTACTAGCAGTGGCAATAAGTTCTTGTTGGAAAAGAAACCCACAGAAATTAAACTAGGGAAACATTAAATAAGGATCTTGAAAGCAGGCTTGTAACAATAAGCAAAAGAAGAATTAAAGCTGCAAGAAAGACAGACTATGTGGCTTCCAAAACAAAAGAGTAAACTTGCCATTCAATTTATAGAGCCTCTCCTCCCCACCCTACACGCCAGCCCACATCACACAAGTCATACACTACTGAGAACAGTAAAGAGCCTATGTTAGCATCCCCTCTTTCACCTACGTGCACACTTCCAGTGACAATTGCACTTCTGGATTACCACAGGGGGCATGACTCCAAACTGCAGTACCCTTTTTATATTACAGTTTTCCTAGGCATGGGAGGCCAGTCAAGGAGAATAAGAAAAGGGTCATACGATCTGTGGCTTTGTAGCTCTCCAAGGGTCACAGAAAGGAGTGTTGATGCAACAGCAAGAAGTTGGGGAGGTGAAAGCTGCACAAGGTCTGCACTGTGAGACTACCTGACAGAGTGCCAGACCTGATGGAGTTACTCAATACGATTGTAAAATAGACTAATTAGTTGCTACTTGCATCACCATAATTCCTAGGAAGATTAGTCATAGAAAGGAATGCCTTTGTGCGAGGGACTGCACAAGCACACAGCACAGTCACCGACAAGGCTGCAGCTGCCACCACA